ATATTGCTTTGTAGTTTTTAGCTAGAAGTATTTTACAATAGTACGAATATCATTTGATCGGTTATATCTAATACACTACGGTATACATTTTAGCGTAGATAAAGCAGTATGTAGAATTAATGATTTTATTATACACTGTTGTTTTAGATAGTGCTTATGTGATTTCTAAATGCGTTATGCTTACCAACGAGATGTTAGCTATTGCCCAGCATTTATGTTTCTACGGTAATCCTGCACGTTGCCCATCGTTGGATACGATCGAAAACTTGGCAAAATTATTGCCAATGATTGTCCAAGCGCTGTGGCCAAAAAATAGTCCTTTATTACAGTTACCACATATCACAGAACAAAACTTGCATTATTTCCGCCGCGTAAGCGTATTTTCTATTAAAGATGGGTTTAGTATTCATGTCATTTCTTTTGTTTTGTAAAAACTAGCTTTATAATACATAAAGGATGTAGTGCATTTATTTTTTTCCTACTTAGCAAGTTTTTACATTCCTAATTTCTTTTTTGGGATTTCATGGATTGGAAATAATTCATGTGTTAATTATACCAATTGTTAAGCTCTCTTGTGATGTTAAATTACTGTTCCAGAAATTCGCTTAGTCATGTAATTTTCTTTTTTTAGAATCGTATAATCACTTGTGCAGACCTTGCAAATCTAAACGAAATCAAGCGTCGTCAGGTATTGCAGTCGTTAAGCGATGCGGAATATAATGACATAGTCTTTGTACTGCAGTCTATGCCTAGGTTAAATATCGATCCTCATTTTGAGGGTAAGTAAATTCATTTTCATTCGATTTTTTAGTCCTCTCTATTTCATGTGTGTTGAGCGTAACCTTTTTCAGTGCAAGGTGAAGACGACGCTCAAAAAGTAACAGTTGGTTCTGTTGTTACCTTAAAGATTATTTTAACGAGAAGTTCGTTGTTAGATTTGAACAAACGGGAGGAAGAAATGCGCGAGATTAATGAGAAAGTATTGATAAGTGGTCTTTTATGAATTTTATTTGGACATATAGACAGAGTCTTTATCAATACAAATATTTCGTTTATTCACTAGAATTATTTGTATTGATAAAGACTCTGTCTATATGATCGTTTTCATATTTTAAAGGACGCAGAACCAATGGAAATGATGGATGATGAGGAGGAAACAAATGAAGAAAGGGACAACAATGTGCCAAAGAGAAAAATATGGGAGAAGCCGAAGAAGAAACAAAATAGAACAAAGCCAACCAGAAACAGACAAGGACATAAAGTTAAAGTAGTAAAAAGGGTTGTGGTTAAAGTAGATGAAAACAACAAACTGAAACTAGAAGACCAAAAGAAGGACAGGAAAGAGAATAATGATGATATGGAGACAAATGGCGATAGCGAAAATGAGGAACTGAGCGATTCGGAAAAAGGCTATGTTAAAAAGTTTGTTTTCAAGTTGATCTTTGTAGTTACAGTCAAAATATATTATGAATGAATATATCAGAATGTACAGTTAGTTATGTATTTTTATGATTTCTCAGATAACTATGTGATAAGTAGCTTTCTAAAGTATTTTGTAATCATTTCTTGTGTGATTTGGAGAAAGTATATTGCGTGATATGTTCAATTTCCCAAAAATGTAGCCGAAGATTTTATGCAAACTTTTTACACAAATTTTTTTTTCTAGCGGAAACGAGAAGGAAAACGGTAGTGGTTCTGAAGGAATGGATGAGGAGGAATCTGATAATGAAGATTGGGCGAATGAAAATATGGTGAAAAAAGAGTCTATTTTAGTAAGTAGAAGTAAAAAAACTCATGCAGTACACTGTCCTTACTTTCCTGGAGAAAAATTCGAGTGGTGGTGGTTACTACTGGTTGATAAGAAACTTCGCAAGCTGGTTGTACCGGCAGTGCATTGCACAACACTTCTTAATGAGCAGACGGTTTGTTTTAAATGTTTTTCTGATCAGAAGAAAGTTCTACTTTTTTTTTTCTTTTTGAAGATTGTGTCTGGGGTTGTTCTGAAATCGGAAACATGACCCAGGCATTTGGATAAAGCAAGGAAAGCTGATGTATTATTCATCATTTTTCTTTAAAATAAATGTGGTTGCGTTAACGATGGTGGTGATTAGTTAATTATATTCGTTAAGTGCCATTAATTTCAGGTAGAAATAAAGTTCGCGGCACCGCAGCACAAAGGCATTTATTACTATAATTTATTAGTTAAATCGGATTCGTATATGGATTGTGATTATTTGCTGGACCTAAAGGTCAAATTTTTTTTTTCCTTCTTTTGCATACACTTCTGTCATGAATCATTTAGTACTGTAGAACTTTATTCTGCACAGTATGACAATTTTGTCAGGTAATTTTTATACGTTAAAAGAGAATATTTAAATGTGGAACACTTTCATTGTAGTAGATACCAAAATTGTTTGTGCTCCCTTTATATTATTTTCAGTAATGGAAATTCTCTATGCAACTCTTTTGTAGCAAGTTTTAAAAGACAGTAATATAAGCAATATAATTTGAATTTAAGGACTGCCATCAAATTGGTTCGGTATGAACTCATACATGTATGAAAAATAATGTTACGAATTAATGAATTCTCGAAAAAATAAAGGGAAAGCGAAGGGAAAAGATGCGGGAAGATGCCAGATAGATATGGTGGTTGTGAACTTTTCCACAGTCATTTTCCCACATTCATTCCAAGTGACCTCTATTAAATATTTCTTTGATTTTTAGTTAGATGTACACGAGGCGAAGGAAGTGCCTATAATAAAATACGAGGATTCAGATGAGGAAGAGCAGTTGGAGGATTCATCTGATTATACGGAAGATTCGGAATCGGAACGCGAATAGAATTTTGCAAGTTCATGTTGATTGTTGTGATACTACCAATGTTAGTGATTTGTACAGATACTGATGGATTCTGTCACTTTTTTTTTGTGACTTGATCCCTATGTCTTAAATGGTAATGGATAATGTGGGTATTTAATATCCCTGGAACTGGAAGCTCGAAGAGCATCTAGTTTCCCGTTAATTCATGTCTGCCATGCAGTACTCAATGTAACTGCTAGACCTAGGAATTATGGGGGAAGAGGTTATCCAAAGTTGCTTGTTGTTTGACCGCAATCCCCAAAAAGGTAAGTTATTCTGTGATATTTGTTTTCTTTTTCTTCTTTTGTTTTTTTTTTTTTTTTTTTTTTTTTTTTTTTTTCATTAAAAATTCTTTTAGTGTGACTCTTAGTCTTCACTATACAAATACTCTTGATTTTTATGGGTGCTTTTGAAAATTAGCAGTAATATTAAAAATAATAGAAGGTTGGAATCAGTACAAGATAAATTTTCATATGACTTTTCATAAAAATAAATAAATGGACTGGATCAACATTATAAATCCCAACTTAGAGATAACAAGTATTCCATAAGTTAGCACTCTTTTACTCGCTCCGAAAAGGCACAGTATGTTTTGATTTGGAAAGAATGCCATATCACAAAAATATTGATTTGCGGAATTCTCACACATTTATTCTTCATGTAGAGAGAAAGAGAGTCTCTTTATCATGCAAATAATTCACGAATTATCAGGCACTTTGAAACTTTATGGAAGTTCCATAAATAAAGTGTATGTTTAATGATAATTTACGTATGTTCGATTCTTCATTTTATGGAAGTTCCCACGAATTTTTAAGAATGCCATAGTATATGCAAAAAAACAGTTATCACCAAACATAAATGACTTTGCATATAAGTGCTAACAATGACTTGAGAAAAAAAAACCATTTTCTTAAAAATGTAACTTTATATTATGAAATGTTGTGAAAAAAAAAAAAAAAAATGTTATGAAATAGTGCAAACAACCAATCCACATAAAATTATAGGGGAGAACTGGTTTAGGATAGTGGAACAACAGCTTGAAAGGGTGGTAATTTTTGTCAGAAAAATAATTTTTACTAATCTAGATTCTAACTGATTCTTTTCTGTTCTTTGCTTATTTTGTCCGACAATCTAAGAGCATAATGAGCAAACCTAGGCGTCCGAGATATTCAGTATAATCTAGTTCTAAAATAAGATCACGATGTATTCATTTTTATAGATATTTTTATGCAGTATTGATGAAATAAGGAATGGAGGAAAAAGAAATAAAGAACCATAAAGATACTGAAATCTCGAACATCTCCAAACTTTTCCAGAAAGGCGTCTGAAAAATGAAGTTTAGAGTGGCGCAAGAAATCAGACACGCTGTGAGTATGCTGAAAAAACATGAAAAGCTTCCTTTCAACTCATTTCAAATTTCTTGTTTCAACAAGCAAAATTCTGTTGCATACAAAGTGATGTGCATAAATGACATTAGCACGTTCCTGAAAATTCATCTCTTTTCAGCGTAGTAAGCCGAGAGACGCATACATTGTATTGCTAACAACAATATGGCTAGTAGGCGCATTTTTAATTTTGTAAATTTTTACAAGTGAATAAATTGAAGTGATTTGAGATTCAAGAAAATCGACAATCACTTCGAAGAATGAGTCATTAGAATTAAAGGAAATGAAAATGAAACATTGAAATTAAGGAAATCAAAGCTTGAAAAGCAGATAATCATCACAGCTAGAGAAATTTATACCTTTCTACACTTCACTTTGAGGACATACTCTTTGTTAAGGAAATCACTATCTTAGCAAGAATACCGAAACCTAATTATTATTAGCACGTATGAACAAACAATGCAATGAAGTCTAAATGTACTTACTTCGTATTGATCAAAAAGTTACTTTAAGACTAGCAGAAGCTGAACACCTGATATGCAATCACTTCCATATTTCTGTCCCATTATGAATATCAGACCAATTATTCTAAGTTAGACAAAACAGTGATAATCATCTTTCCCTCCGACTAAACTTCAAAGACAGTGTCACAAAACAACTGGAATACATGTCCGAATTTGAAAATTCGAAGTAAAAATCACATTAATCAACTTGTGTGACTGGCATACTGTGATACCAATTCACCGAAAATATCTTCTATGAGTTACCTCTGTCAGATGATTTATCGAAGTGACGAACAATATCCGTCACAAGATCATGATGTTGTTTAACAACATTGTCCCAACCTGGCGTGGATGTAATGTTTCGTGGATGCTGGATGATAAATTCCACGGCACGATGTCTAAGACGTGGTGCGCTGTAGATATCCGAAACGATGAGCAATTCACAAACATTTTCAAATGTCAACGCCTATAAATGAAAAGACAAACATCTGTAAACGTGGAATTTTTATTTCACAAGAATTCTCCAGTTCTCATGCAGATTAATGCTAATCATCTGGATTTTTTTATTCACAGATTTAGGCAAACAATGTCCGCAAAATTAGTGTGAATTGACAAATGAAAAAAAAAAAACCAAATGAGATATTTACAAATCATCACCTGAATTAAGGCTTTCTCACAGTGACTTTTTAATTCCTCAAGTCTATACTTGTCTGCAGCAATTAATAAATCGGAAGCAAATGCGAATTCATTAACATCTCTCAAACAACGTCCACAATAAATGAAATTAAGCATTTCCGTAACTGTATCATATTCCAAATCTTCGATCACCATTATACCCTTAATAAGGCATTCCAAACTAAACAGTGAATATCGTAATTTGGCACTTCGTTATGTAAATAAGCAAAGTTTTTTTTTTTTTTTTTTTGAACTCTTGTTATTCGCTCCATTGAACTTCGCAATAATTGAACAAAGCGCATACGAATTAAACTTACCGTTTTTGCTTCATTCGTATCTTCATGCCTTAACATAGCAGCAAAGACCGGAGATCTGGCTGCTAAGATAGCACGATGAACTCTAATCTCTCGCTCGCCTACTTTTATTGCGAAATCAGTCAACACATTATCCTTCAACATTTTCAAATAATCCTCCGTTAGTTGTTGCTCGCTATTACTCTGGAAACGATCTTAGTAATAAACTAATGAAATAAATACTGCTCTTTCATCCTTCACCTTTTCCACGCGAACGAAGAAAATGGGAAAAGTACAACATTAAAAAGTAAAATCGATAAAACATTAAATTCAACAAGCTCACAGTTAACATATCCTCTAGCGTTGTCGTAACAGTTTCCACAGCTACATCTATTTCAACATTCACAATAATTGAATCATTTGGCAGTATCTGCGGAAATAGAACATCTCGTTTTATATACGATACATAGTCTGAATGGGAAGGGTTTGGATGAATACGCATTTCGATCTCTTTCATTTCGCTGGTACGTAAAATGAAGCTGAAAAGACAAAGCTCAATAATAATATTAAAACCTCACGGAATGAAATAATGATTAGTACACTGACACGAATATTTTCCTTATTATATCAGTTTGAAAGTCAGAAAATGGCGTATTTAGCGATAAAAAATGCTTTCGATAATTCCAAACTAAAATCTTGATTCATTAATGCATTACTCATCTTACCTCGAACTTTTCTAACATAAAATTATTAAGTTGACTTACCGGGATTTGAAGCCAATTTTCCCATTCTTGCACGGTGCATTCGTATTACTGACCACTCTATTAAGACATAAAAAGACAAAATCTTTGTTGTTTTCACCATTTCCTTTAGGATAAATTTTGATGGACCAGGTAAGGGTATCTTCACCGCGATGTAAGTGAACAAAATTTTCCAAATATTCCTGGTAACAATGCGAAAAATTCTTCACTGTCCAACTGTGTTTGACATGCTGAAAATATCTAACCATTAGTTTCAATTGACTTCATAACGCAATGAAGGTGCACTAAGCAGCTTTCGATCCAGAATTTAAGCCCTCAAAAACCAAATGACAATCATTATTCTAAACATTTCTCATGTTGTTTTCTTCTAAATATTTCGATCATACTGCCATCTCTTTATTTAAAGTAACTTGAAAGTTTTCTAACTTCTACCCTATCAAAGCGCTTAAATACAGCAAGCAAAGCATTATGAGATCTCAAAATTCAAGGATGCTTGCAGAAAAAACGCAAACAATTGGCAATCGAAACCAAATAATCCGACAAACCTCAACTCTGATCTCAGTTTGCGAAGAATTTGAGGAGTGAGAAGCCAACGTCGATGAAGATTCAATTGGCATAGTTAACTCGGAGTTCGATGGCTCCATCCTTTTAAAAAATCCTTGAAAAATAAGTTCAAAACAAACGGAAAATCCAACAAAAAGGAACACTTCGAATAATTAACAGTTCTTTTACTATGAGTGGACATTAATATCGAACAGAAACGATTTACTGAAATACTATGCGATCCATTCGTTTAATGAAATGATTTCCTAATAACTTTCAGCGATAATAAAACCTCAATAACTACTACTACTGCTAATCCAGCGGCACAACAATACTAAAAAATTATTTTCATGAACTTACTCGAAAAATAAATAATTATGCGATGAAATCCTTAAAATACATTCACCAATAAATTGTTAATTCAAATTTGCAAACTAAAAGTGCAAAATACCAGTCAACTGTCCAGTAAGACAACATGAATTTTTAATCAAACTTGTGACCCTATAAAGCTTTTAATGGACACTGATATATAACAAAATAATCGACTTTTGGAAATAATGTGCTAAAACGACTTGAAAAGCAATAAAGAATTGAAATATTCATCTGGTCAACATGAATTAACAGCTACGCTGCTTATTGCGTCATTTTTCTCAGAAAAAAAAGTTACCCGTCCATCTTGAATATGCTGAAACTTACATAAAGTATTTAAGAAGTTCAATTTGAAACAAAAAACATGAAAAATTCTAATAACGCCATAAAAGATGAAAATACAAAGACAACAAATATTGCAATGGAAAGCTAACTTTATATAAAAAGAGAAATAAATGACTATGTGGATAAATGACGAAATAACAAAATAACATCGATATGTTAATGCGCATAAAATAGTTGAGCAAAAGTCTCGCTTATGAAAGTTTTTCATTGTTGAGAGCAGAACATAATAATCAGCAGATCAGTTAACCCTGAATCCTTTAAATACAAATACAGCGTTACAGCGCTACCCAAAAGAACATGGAACGCTACAATTACTCACTAATAGCAGATCATCGCGGAATTTTGCGATTTATAAAGAAAAACGGTTAATTATGAGGAAGATAGCGTAGAATTAATCTGACTGTTGCAAACAATAAACGATTTATGAAACAGAAAGCTGAATCTTGTAAAACAATCACTGAATCTAAAAAAAAAAAGAAAAAAAAATCACTGAAACACAAAATACACTACCTTTTGAACTTATTTTTTTAACAAATGTATTATATATTAATGAAAATCTTCAGGTAATTATGAATCTAAAACCAAATATGTAGTAGCTAGATCACAGACAATTACAGAGTGCACTAACTTTGTTGGATATATATAAGAAATAATTTATCACCAGAAATACATCTTGTCTTAATCTTAAAAAAAATTTTTTCTGTCGCGTTATCTTTAAGAAAAAATTTCAGACAATTCAAACCTAGTTAGAATTTTTATTTATTAAGCAAGATGAAAAACTCAAAAATGACAAAAAACGCTTCATAATTCCATTTATTATATCATTATGGTTTTCGGTTCGGAAAAAGTAAAGATAGTTAAAGTAAACTAATCGTGGCTTCAAAAAGTAGCAAAGCAAAAATTTGGAACAACTGTCGATAATAGTAACTACTACTGTCACCGCATGATGTTGCGTTATGTAGTTTTCGCTACGCTGTGGATTGCAAAGATTTTTAAACATTCGGCGAGGAGACGTGGGAAATCAACGAAGTATTCAGAAGTGGTGGTGAAAAAGTTTCTGGTGTGGAAGCTTTAGAAAGTGAAGGAGATGAGGTACCATCTGATAGAACACGCCCTTTTAACCAGTTTCTGTAGCGAATCATTCGCGGCGAAATGTGCAGAATAAGGGATAGAAGCGAACCGTGGTAACGTGCACGCCATACTGATGAATATTCGCGTGATCGAACAAATACTGCACACAGCGTAGCAAAGGCATGTTCAAAAGCTTGTCGAACTAATTGGATGTTATGCGAACAACGTCCGATATCGTTCCCTTAATAGCTCTTTAAAGTAATGATTTATGGAGTTCAAACTTTGAAGTTCAAACATCTTCAAAACTGAAGCTCAAACTTCTTTTGGTTGTGGAAGTAAATGCTACTTCAATGTAATACATGCAGAGTAAATAGAATAGATAAGTCGGAGTTTTCATTATAAAATCAGTCTCCAAGAATACCAAAGAATATTCCTCGAAATGTAATTCAATTCTTGCTCGTACCTGATATATTTTTGAAAAAACTTCAAGTATAATTTTACTACCTGGTTGTAAAGGATCCTCAATACATAACATCGAATTTGATGGTCTATTCATCTGTACTAAAATTTCATCTTTGCAAACATACGCTCCACCGCTATGAATACGCAAAGCTGTTTTCATGTAATTGAATTCTTGCCCGTAAAGTTGCAAAAAATTAAGCAACAATACACCCATATTCACTTCCGTGATTCTCTTATATGAATAATCGTACGATGGGTGAAGCTGCAATTATTAAGTTATTACTGCGAACACTAATCACCTCCTACAAGACCCAATAAAACTAGCTAAATCTCGAAGAAACGACGAAAAATTCTTTACATCATTTATGAAATAAGCAAAACTGAAATAAAGCAAATGTTTATAACATTATTCAGGAAATCAGCTATAGAAAAAGTACCTGCAAAAAGCTAATTAGCATTAAAATAAGCCCGTAAGATGATAAACCACCCGTAAATACCTGAAATATTTCATATCGAACGAAAGAAACAGCCAGATGAAGCCAGATGAAAATTCATACTGTAAAAATAAAATGCACCACTGAAGTCCAGGCATCAACAATATATGCTTCACATATTACAAAGTTTTTCACCACTTACGAATCAGTAAAATAATGGTTTAAAAAAAGTTATTAGAACATATCATATAAAATGTACATTTTTAGAGTTTTGTAAAAAGGAAAAAGTAATAAAGTCAAAAATAATTAGTGATGTGGTTTCTAATTGCAAAAAAAAAAAAAAAAACCGCACTTGATTTAGCTGCCGCTGCATCAAAAACTGTTTGAGGACCAGCACTAGTGGCTCAAGGACGGGATATCGCATTTTCATATCCTCAATAAATTTTGCTGAACGAACACCCTGTACTGTATTGAATGAAATATCCAAGTATATCTTGGTATCCTTGTCGACCATCTTCACTATTGGTACAAATGCTTTGTCAAGCACATTGATTGATTCCGTAATTCCAGATTCTCTGAGAAATTAAGTTTAAAAAGAGTAAATTACGTCCAACCAATGACAAATCAATCATTTTTTTCCGGAAACCGCATCTTCAAACAAAATACTCAACAAGTGACAGTAATTATTTACATTTTTTATAAAGAAAAGGAAAATTTATATCACAACATAGCCTTACAAATCGAAAGATACAAACTTCAGTGCTATTGCCGTCTTCCAGAGAGGTGGTTCCTCGCTCACTAAGTCACTTTCCACAACCACATCGATGTCTGAGGTAGGTAAAAACAAGCTCGTGTATAGGCTGCCAAATACATCAATTTTTGCTGTCGGCCAAATTCGTTGCAGGACTCCACGAACTCGCTCGAATACACGAAGTCGTAATGCCCTTTCTAGTGGAGATGGCTTCAACCATGCATACAGATCTAGTAATTCTTCGTGTAGCCTACAATTTCTATACACTTTCATGTCTTAAAATCTTCACTTCGTAGTTTTATTCCAACAGTTTTTGAAAACTGTTACAGCCGCTATAGGTAGCTATAAATGCAAAAAACATTTGCTGCTAAATCGGAAATCCGACTTCTTATGAAGTCGAACCGATCTTTCTTATGAAAGATAAACCGAAAGCAGGTGACAACTTACTTTGAGTTGAACCTAATATTTCATTTATTCCTATTCACTGTTGTATTTTATATTTCTGCATTTATCAAAAAACTATTTCACCTTTTCAGAAAGAAGCATACTAACCCTCGTAAAGAAAGAGCATATCTTCGTCGACACCATGGAGCAATCAACGCAGTACTTTCTCTTGGCGGCCAGTACACACGATCTGATGAATCTGCAGTGAAATTCAGTGCTTCTTCCTCCCCCTCCCCCTCCGAACTACTCCTGGAAATTTTTACAGAATTACATTTCAACTTCTAATTTTATTTAAGTCAAATGTCGATGAGATAGGATTTTCATTGCTCCATTATCCTACAAGATGAAAATGAAGAATGAGAAGAAAGGAAAGGGACCAAATAACTAGCTTACAATTCATGTGTCTGAAAGTCTCCCAAATCAAAACTGAAATGTTATAAAGAACTACAGCTAAAGGAACTGTGAAAGGATAGAGGAAACTGAAAAATTAACTTACGAAGGAACAGAATCGCACTGATCAGCCACCTTAGGAGTGTTATCTTTCAAAATCATCGTAAACTCCTAACCAAATATATTCTGCTGGAAACTGACCAGTATACGTTCATTGATCCATTCCTGTATATTTGATTGATTAAAATCACACAAACAAAGAATTTAAGAGACAATCTGAACTGATTACTACTGCATACTCGATCCGGTTTTGTACTCCGTTTACCATAAGTCTGTGGAAGCGAGAAAGAAATGGGAAAGTAATACATCCCATTCCCATGAAGTTCATAAAATTCATTTGATTCACATGCAAATTTCTTCTGGTCTCTTTGAAATGGAATTATGAGAAGACTTCGGCGCACTATCTCCTAAGGACAGAGTTAACTGAAACACTGTATTAAGTTATCCACCCTATTCTTCCTTGCTGTCAGTACTAACCGCACCACAAACTTACCCTCCTCCCTTAACTTCCCACTCTGATCCTTCCTGACATGAAAGAGCTGACCATCACAATTTAACGGTCATGGCGGCCTGTTAGAATAAGTTTGAGATATGGAAAGAAAGCATACAAGCGACGAGCTTTGCTTACTCTTCGCGATTTCCGGTTGGTGGGATGATTCGGCCCATTGTTAAAGACAAATATCATCAATAAATATTGACATGTAAGATGCAGGTGGGATGTTCATCTTCATTGGTACGCCTTCTGGATAGTTGCCAAAAGGTAACTTTTTTCTTTGTTTACATGAAATATTTGGTTATGTGACAGATGTTACCTTTAACACATTCTCATCATGACGCTACACGTATTCTTGTCACTTCTATTGGTCAATGAATGATAGTAAATGACACAAGTTTCAGTCGTAAGTCGAATCATGTTAGTCGATTAGGTTTTCTTGGTATTAAGTTTCGTTGGTTTTATGTCTCCTTTCTTAAATTTTCTTTTCGCCGTCGCGATAATCAAATTATTATATTTATGTGTATGTGAATATTTTCATTAGTATTTGTTACTATTAAAGTTGGTAACACGTAGTTCAGAAATGTTACTGTTTCTGCTGTGCATTGCTTAATATTACACGCCATTTTAGAGTATTCAAGAACTTGTAATGACTTATTTTCCATATTTATTTAATTTTTAGCCATGTACCCTAATTAGAATTTCTTGAATATATTGAAAGTTGTTTATAGTTTTGAAATATATATTGAAACAGTTAACATTTCATAGCTTTTTCAATCAGCGGATTTCATATGTTTTTTCCTTTACGTTAGTAAATCTTGATTTCAAATCATATATGCTCAACAAATAAGTTCGATTTATAAAATCAGTTCCGTTATTGAACAAAGCACGCAGTTTTATTTATTTCGTAAATCAAATAAATTGTCGCACTACTTCACTTCCCATGCATATTTGTGTTGTGTGAAAAATATCTCCAAAATAAACTGGACCAAGTGAGGCACTAGAAGTAGGACACTTCAGTTGCAGTTCTAGATTGTTGCTGCATTCCCTATTACAGTGTATCACTAATTTCGACTACTGGATTATATATGAAATTACTTTTAGATCAGCAAAATAATTTACATTATGGGCTTCTTGGTTTCCAAACATGTTCCGCAGGTATATTCGTTTTGAAAAGATAAATTTTACCTTGTCTTTTATCGAAATAAGGTAGGTGCTTGATTGGAATATAGTTTCAATTTGTTAACTATGGGAAAATAACTTAGTTTTCACAGTTAACTTGAACTCAAAAAATCCTAGAAGTTATTGCCGTTTAGCAAAATTTACTAAGCAAATGAATAAAGAAATCATTGCTGTAGCGAAACACGTGCTTGTAGAATATAGAAGTGAGCATGAAAAGTTTCTTTTAAACAAAAATCTTTCAAACCTAACTTCTAGGATATGAGTGAGGTACAACAATTTATTGACGAATTGATTGCACTGAAAAAAGTTAGTTTCCAACTTTCATCCTTTATTTTCAAGATGATTACCAATGTTGATTATCCTTATTTTTAAGAGACCACTGATGACGATTACAGGAAGATTGTAGTTTGAAATGTTAAAATATTTAATTCCATAATCTTGACTTGTTTTTTGAAATTAACACCAACTGTTTTTTAATTCTGATTTCCATTAATTTCAATGTGATTCCCCATAAAAATGAACCTAACTAATACAGCTGGAATTGGGATTTTAAAAAAAAAAAATATCTTTGATATTACTACTATCTTTACAGATAGTAGTAATATCAAAGAGTTGGTGCATATATTGTAAACGAACACGTAAAGCGCTTGCCGCGTATCCTCTCGAAAGAGATGCAATGGAATGGATCGACATCAACAAAAGGTCTGATGGAAAAGAAATTTTGGATTATATGGAACAGATAACTGGATCAAGGTTATATTAACGCTATTTTATCGAATTGTTTTTAGTTCAGGGAACCACGGTGATGCTATGGAATGTAATCACATTCTTTCATGTCTTTTTCTCATGAAGAGTTCTTCAACAGTGGTGATGCACTAAGTAAAGAAGCCATCATTGGAAAAAGTAAAACTGAAAAGCATAAACGTGGTTCAGACCTACAAGCGTACAGTCTATGTGTTTTTAGGGGAATTCACCAAATTTTGTTCTTTATAAAAATTTTTAGGGGAATTCACCAAGTTTTGTTCTTTATAAATACATTTTGAATGATGCAAACAGAAGTATAGTACTTAAAGATGCTCAACAACTTTTACTTTCGATTTAAGTTTGGATTCGTACAGTGAGGTTCCAATATCCACTTTAAAATATATGGTGTCTTTAATATCTATTTTCAGAAGAGTGCCGCGAATTTTCATCGGCGGTGAATTTTTTGGAGGTTGCGCTGAAATTTGTGCAGCAAAAAGGGACGGTATCTTAGAACGCAAGCTTACTGCAATTGGGGCCATATGAAAAAATCGAAAACAATTGAATTTGAAGACTTACAGAACAGTGCGTGTCCATATGACTGCTCAAATAGTTATTATATTTTAATGGACTTACCATTGGATAGTTTTTACGAAATAATGACTTGATTTCCTTGCTATGAGTAATAAAACTTTCAAGTGTAAGAATTTCAAATGTTAACAGCACACAGAACATACTGTTTCTGGAGAATCATAAATTTCGCTCATTTTTTTTCCGCATTTGTAATATTCTGCAAGTGCGTTTTTTCCTTAAGAGCAACGAATACACTTTTAGGTGTATATGTTCTTTGGCTGAGCAGGATCGTCAAAGTACAGAGGAGGCTTTATGAAAATTGGGATAGGACTGCACGGCTAAGTAAATAGTCAAGTATGGATAAAAGACAGCTGATGTCATGTGACGAAGAATTGTAACTCTGGAATATTTTTATTCCAGGATTCTTGAGCAGAGTGGTCTAGAGTAGTAGTCTGCACACGACTTCTTAACATTGTCAAATTCAACATAGTAGCAATTAGCGAAGATGTAGATTGGTCAGAGTTAAATGTGTGCTAGAACAATGGATTAGAACAAATTCAGTTTATCATTGAAATAGTCAGAAACAATAAAGAAATGTTTTAGGAATAAAGTGAACCTATCAGTAAGTCTTCATCCTCGCCGTCATTTTGCCCAATATTTAAACTTCTCCTTATACCGTATGCACGATTACTACGGGCTAGACCAGTTCGTTGTCGTCGGCACTGCAGGACGATCACCACCAGTAGTATGATGAACAGGATGGAAACCACAGCGATAAGCCATTCATTAAACAGCACAGATGAAAATAAAGATGTAGTAGTAGCACTGGTTGGACTAACCTTATCCATTCCAGACCAAATCGCTGATTTCATTTGTTCCTCGCCGGGCACATTCATGTACCCATTATCCTGCCATTTCCTAAAGGCTTCATATACAGGATATACTAGAATTGTTTCATGACCTCTGTTAAGCTCATAATATGATATTTAATTACAACAGATACCTTCGCGAAGCACTCATTTTCACAAATTGATCTAACCTTTTATTACAGTCTATTTCATCGGATCCATCAGTACACTGTGCAATACCATTACACAGATCATACTGGGCAATACACTGGCCATTATAGCACATCCACTGCCAGGGACTGTCACAAGTTAAGATCTGGGCTGATGCACATGGCATCACTGTCTCTGAAACTACTGTCACATTAGCAAGACTACATTTGACAGCAACAAGTTAAGTCGTCACTTTTCCCTTCTCTTACGTTGCGCTTTAAGACTATGATATAATGTATAGGGCATCGCAACTGATCAATTCTATAAGGCTTCGCAGGTATTTCACTCCACGTCGGCCTAAGGCTCTCCTTCTTTGTGTAAACACATCCTTGTAACGGGCAGTTAGGTTATCGATTCCAGTTATCACTGTGGTGCTTGAGAACAGGCCAGTCTACTCTGCTGCTAATGGTTGTAAAAGAATGACAGATTTTTATTCAACAGCGAAGATAGCATTAAGGTTTACAGAATTATCTTGCTTAATTACCTCTGGCTTGAAGTCCAATGATCATGTTCCATGAATTCCTATGCGTTGCAGACTTGCATTGCTTAAGAATATAGGGAATATCAGGGAAAATGTATTTCTACCGATTATTCTCTTGAAATTTTAAAACTTTTAAATTAGAACTGTCCATCGACTTTAATGCAGCTGACATAGGTGTTTTATTACATCCTGATATGAGTTATGGACTTTCGAGCTTCATATGTGCAAATAGCAGCAAAATTAACAAAAAGTGAAAAAATCACGACTGATTGATGTAGTGTTTGTTTCTCGTTATCCCACACAAAGCCAGTTGCTTTTGTAGTCATAACTGTAATGGACCTTTCAAGTGACATAAATGTCCAGCTTGCCGCTGCAGTCGCGTATTGTTTTCGAAACCTTCAGCCGGTAAGTGGTTTTGTTAAATTATTTTTAATTTGCGTCGTTTTTTTTTTCCATTAGTTAAATATGACGACAATTAACACAAAAGTGGGAGTAGCAATGTTTTTATCAGGTCACTGATCCGTTTAATATTTTCGATCTTGAAATAATCACTTGCCCGAAATTGACCACAAACAAATTGTAGATGTCAAGAAGTCAGAATGCACAACAATGGCAAGTTCCTCAAAAAATGGAACAGTTTGCTCGAAATAATTTTACAACACAAAAAGCAACATCTAATTCAAGAAGATTGAGGCAACGTAGAGCGCAAGCCGATCAGAAGAATAAACAAGTTTTGTCGCAACCCATCCATTTGTAAGCTATCTTTATTTGATTCCATTTTCTCGATAATTCGATCCATTTATTACTTCAGGCTAAAACTTTCATTTATAATCTTTCAGAATTGAATTATAATGAAAGATAATTCATAAGCAGTTATGTTGCCACACTACCATGTTTAGTTTGAGTAATAAGTGATTAGAAAACCGAATCGTTATTTTTACCAAACAATACGTTTCTTCAGCACAGAGTTATGATGCTCAAGATGGTATTATAACATTACCTAATGTAAGTAGGATTGAGCGAAATATTAGTTATTAATATGATAAGATGCTAGTTCATTTCACTTTCTTATCAGCTCTGTTCTTTATGCGTGGAAATTACTTTTTTAGTGCAGGACTCCAGGATAATGTTGTTTTTAGGATTCTAGATAATATTGATAGCCGATCAGTATTGTCAGAGCCATGTTTGAGAAATAAGCAAAATATGGTGTGGACAGGAACGTCAGCTACGAAAATCGGTATTCCAACTAAGATTACTGAATGGAAAAATAAACTGGATCATTTAAGTTTTTTGTTCAGGTAAGATTATGATCATTTTAATTTGATTATCGCGAAATAACATGTAATTGGTTCAATCTCATCGATTCTAATTAAAGAGTCCGACCAGCTTTTTGCCTGTTGAGGAATCATCAGGAATGGTTGGTGGAAAGTAGGAAAAAAATACAGCTGGCACAAGCAACACAAGTAACAAGTTTTTTCATTATCCGATGCTGTAATTTTTACCACGCGATTTCATTCTTTGTCTTCCTGATATTTTGGACGAGCTTTGTAGTAAACAACTTCATTATAGATAAAAAATCATAGCAAAGCTTTTAGGTTTCACTTTTAGGTCCATAATGTTATAATGAATTTCTCAGAAAATGAAATTTTTGTAGAATGAATAAGACATTAGTGGAGCAATCATAACTAAAAAAAATAATGCATACTTACTTGATGTCCTTAATTTAGAGATTACGTGGAACAAAAATGAGTATCGAATGAGACCAATTTCTTATTGCTTGCGGATCTTAACTTTTTTCTTCTATAAACCACAAATTTTCTTGCTTATTAAGTTGTAGATTTTTTTTATTGTAATTATTTAGTTCACTCTGCAATGGTAATGTATCTGCAATCCAAATATGTGCAGATCTTGACGTGGGATTTCGTGATCTGATTACCTTTTTATGTTACACTTCTTCAACTAGAAGACCTGCAGCAGTTTTTGCTGCGGTGGAGATGTATGCTGGGTCTTTGGTGAAGCTGCATCAATACTGTATCATTAATGCTAATAATGTATGTTCCAAAAATTGTTTCAATGAGAAAAGTGTATTGTTTCAAATTATCGTTATTCAATATTGGAATTGATATTTCTGACTTTTGATCTTATCCGCTAATTGAAGATTTCCAATGGTAGGTTTGAATATTTTTTGGTTACCGAACCTATCAAAATTATTCACAAATTGGACCGGTGCAACACACTTTTTCTTCTGATATTAGAGGGTTTTATGGTATTTTTCAGAGCTTCGAAAGACTTTTATATACAGCAATTCATGAAGTGATATCATTCTGGCTTCGATTCTTACACTATAATAATTTGGACAAGTATAATCGGTTCTGGCTCCATACACGAGCCGTTATCACGCGAATGTTCAGAAACATTATCATTCAGGAATGCATTCTTGCTATTAAACATAGTTTAGCTTCAATGCTTAAAGAGTAAGTTTTACGATGTTTACGTCCTGACAAGTACAGACTCATTAGTTATTTTCAACTAAGTTTTTCTAGATTTGCTTAAATGTTTCTACCGAAATTCAGTAATCGTTGTCGATGTAGCACTAGTCTAGACTAGATTTCTAAGGGAAGATTTATAACAGTGGTATGGAAATCACTGAGAATCTCTACTACAAACGATGTTCATTAACTCAGATTAACAATGCTCGTTCTGGAAACTGGCGAATGTAACTATGGCTTTTATGCATGCGAACAAATCGAGTATTTGATGCTTGTGTTATCACATCATACATCATATGTTAGCTACTAAGCAATTCGGTACAATGCCTTATTTGTTGCTATTATATGAGAGTTCATTTTGGGATCCATCTCTTTATTGATTTCTTTGTGAATCACTTCTTTCGAAAATTACTTTTCCTCAGTCTACCGCTCACTGAAATGTTATGCTTTTAAGTAAATGAATTTGTTAACTGTTTGTAATAAAAGAGTTATGGAAGACTCAGCATATCGACTCGTTTTGTTGGAATTTTCCGGATGGGTGCATCTTTTTTGGTGCTTAGTTTTTAAACTCTCAACGAATATATTAATCAATGACTATTCACTGATATAAGTCTCATGCTGCCAAGCAAGTTCCTGAAAGGCCTCTAAAAATTTAAATTAAAGTTTAAAGTTTAAATTTAAAAAAAAAAAAAAAAAGCGCCCAAACTGGTCCACGCTCTTGTCACCGTGCAAAACATTTAAGGCCGCTGCCATCGAATTCCGAAATTGGCTACACGGCCAGTTTCGAATTTGTGATTTTATTATTCCAGGATTGGCATTATTGGCGGTGCGGAGTTTTATCTGAGAATGTTGGCGTGACATGTGATGTCTTACTCTAATGATAATGTCTCGTCTTAGTGGGAAAGTTTAGGTGTTGATGGATATAACCGAAGTGGAAACAGTTCGGAAGCCTGAGGTGTCTAATTCGTCCATGCCGCAGCCATCCAATGTGAAATTTAACGCCCCAGATAACAGGTAAATGTTAAAATAATTAGAATAAGATAAGGTTGGACTGTTCTTGGAAGTCTAACCCTTCAAAGCTACTGCGTAATATGATTCCAATGTAACCTTTAAAAGATTTCGATCTGAAGTGTTGAGTTTGTACACTTCGATATATCTCTTGATGATTTAGTGATAGATAAGATCCAGCAGATTTAAGGCTTAGGTTTTTTGAAAAAGGACAGTATGGTTCGAGGTTCTATAGCTGGTCACAAATTCAAATAAGTCCAGCTGTTATGTACAGCGGTAGAGATTGAGTTCAAAAATCATTATTTAATGGAATCAAATTTTTCATCAAATTTGAATTCGGGTGCCAATATAATCAGTCTCGACTAATAAAAACAAAAAAGATTGCAAATGTTGACAGTTTTAATGAACAAAATTTAGAGAATTATATGATGAAAATGGTTCGCTGAAAGTGCGGCGTTCCAATCGAGAAATCCGAAAACCCAAATTTGATGATGAAATTGTTGATAGTATTTCTACGGCTAAAATAGTGCAAAGAAAGAGGCCAAGCTCTGAAAGGTTGCATCATTCTCCGGAAGCTGCAGATCGTTTCGTGGTATGCTTCATATCTTTTTCCAGAAAATTTTTGCATGGTGATACTTTGCAATGTGTACATTTTTGATCTTTGTCTCATTTTAACCAGAAAGTCCTGTTCTGCCTTATACTATATTGCTTAAAAGGAAGATACTTGACCAATTTTTACTTCAAATATACGACGGCTTCTATTTTTTCATCTGTTTATTTTCATTACAGGAAAAAACTCAGACGGCGACCCGAGTGAAACTTGGTAAGAGGCAGTGGCGTACTACAGAAACGAACGTTGGAGCTCCTGTTGAAGTTAAAAGTTTTAAGAAGTTTCCAGCAAAACCCGTTTGCCAGACGCAGTCTGTTGTTTTTACAGATAAAGTACACATTTGATGTTCAAAACGCCGAAAATCGAAAATCTTAAAACCTTAAATAAATGCAAGCTGTCTTACTGAAATCATATTTGTTACATAGATCTTTAAATATCGTAAATAATAAGGTTTATATCTTTAAATAATTTAGGTAACGTAATGTTGGTTTGATCAAACTTTAGAATAGTTTTTTTGGGGAGCTTAAAATACCTGTACG